GTCGCGACACGACGACTGCTGGCAACTCGGGCAGTCGACGCGGCGCTTGGTTCTCGTCTTGTGGGAGGTTGACGTCGGCAGTAGCTGGCCACATTGGGGTCGTGGGCAGTACCGATGACCGCGCTGACGGAGCTCGTACGCTTCGAGAAAGCGAACGTACTTTTGGAGATGGCTTGCCGACACGACTCGCGCAAGAACGTGGCGCGGCACTGGTTCCCGGCAATCGCCTGGGCACACGAGTTGGTGCGGCGCGATGCCGCCGTTCTCAATCTTGTTTGTCAAGTACAAATGGAAGCAGTCGTAGCAGAAATTGGCGTCGCAGTGCGGGCACTGGTAAGCACGCTCGAGAGGTCGGTCATGGAGGCAAATTTTGCATCGTGCTGTCAGCGGCTCGCCGAGTTGCGCAACACCGTGATCGATGTCGTGGTCCTCCGAAGCTCGGAGGTACGACGCTGAGGTTGTCTAGATCGATACGAATGAGCATTCTCCATCTTCAAACAGCCAACAAGAAGTACTTGGTGCACCTGCATAATGGTGGGATCGGAAGGAGAGATCATTGCGTAGAGAGATTCGGAGCGCGGCGTTCGGCTCGTGTTTGAAAGTGAGAAGCAGGATGCGTCCACAATCGAAAGTGACAAGTGCAATGGAACCGCCAATCTGATTGGCAACTTGATTTACAACCACAGAACTGGGTGACGGTATAAAATTGTTCGACACCAACAGGTGGTTGTTGTTGTTGAAGTGGGTCTTCTATTCCTATAGATATAAACTACGCTAAATAAGAATGTCGGACTTTCTTCGTTGTGTGTACTCGGTTGAGGGACTTGATTTAGGCAGGCGGAGGCAGGACGACACCAACAGGTGGTGCCGTCGATTGAAGGCGCGAAAAATGCGCACTGGCTATTGAATCGGGCACGTTAGCTCGTTCCAGTGTGGCGACTCGAGTTGTAGTCGATGTGGACGTGCGCACGTGTGTGTATTACTCAAGTTGGGTCGTTGGACCCCGATGTTAGCGCCTTTTGTGGCGTATCTTGTGGTAGTATGATCATGACAACTTATCTTACATGCTGCACTCGCACTGCATGAGTTGTCTGCGACGGCACGATGCGACATTGCTGGTATAGTTCCGAGTGAATCTCGGTAAGAGCCAATCAGGAGGCAGAAAATGAGATCTTCGCGTCTCGTGCAAGCACGCGAGTTGTCGATCCCCTTGCAGAGGTACGACGTGTCGACCGTAAGAGACTTGCCATTGGGCACCCTATCTTCTATGATTCGGATATTATAGAGAAAGGACATACGGAGAAAGGAGGTGGTTTTACAATGGCTGGCCCGAAAGGGCTCACTTCAACTTTGATGGCCGGGTTTCCACCGGCCTTGCACACTCTGACGCGCCGCAACGCTTTCTTGTGCTTTGCCTCGTCTGATGCCTCTGCAAGTGCATTTTACAAGTCTCGACGACCGCCAGAAAATATCCAAGTCTTGGCATGAGTGTGGTGCATCTTGCGGGCATGACCTTCTATCGTTCGGGACGAAGGTGCATTTTGTTCGAGATATATGGGTGCCGCATCAAGTGCGAAGGCTACGACGCAGCGCTGTGTCGGCGTCGACCGTTTCTGTCAAGGGAATATTGAATTATTTCCTTGGTTCCTGCGCTCCAAGGAATGACTCTCAGCCCACAATCATCCAGGATTCGATACAGTTTCAAACTTAGTCGGATTAATGTAACAAGGGGCATTGAGAGGATGCTCGACCAGCGTGAACGGGTGTCAGGTGCTGTCGTCGGGTAGCTTTATGCGGGTCCGGATGGAACATGATCCGTTGTGGTTCTTGTCCCAGTACTCGTGCGTCGGAGGCGTCGGATTCTATCATAGTACGTCAATAAAAGCCCATCAATAATGTGTCATGTGTACCGTGGACGGCCGATGTGGAGGCGTTGAGCCCGCGCTGGAGCTGATGGGGCACGGTGGCGGCGGCAGCGATCCGCAATGCCGTCGTAGATGCAAGCAAGTGGAAGTGCAACGACGGCGATACCCACGGCAAGTATCGCCGCGAGAAGCGCAGCGACACCGACAAGTGTCTTGGTGACGCACCGAAGAGGCGCCGTCGGGCCAAAGCGCCAATCCGTGGAGCGCACGAGCGTGCGCAGCGGACACAGCGCGTGGTTGTGGTCTTCCCACTTGACGCGGCAGCCCCAGCAAAACACGTGGTGGCAATACGTGCACTGAACGTGGTTGCAGCCGCTGACCTTCTCAGCGATCGCCGAACACGACGGACAGCGCCGGGCGCCGTGATTGCGGCACCACGATCGATACTGTCGGTCGCACCACGGCCACCAATGGTAGGCGCCGCCGCAGTCTCGGCATGACACGTGACGGCAGCTCTTGCAGTCGACGCGCCGACTGCTTTTGCCTGTCGACGATGCGAGCTCATGGCCGCACTCTGGTCGCGGGCAAAAGCGCTGGCCGCGCTGCCGGCGCGCAATGACCTCGAGGGCGACCGTGTACTTACGAACTTGTCGCGCCGACACAAACGACTCGAGCGTTTCCCGCCAAATCGGCTGCCGGCATGAGCCGGGCCACACGAGCTGGTGTGGCGCGACCTCCCCGTCGTCAATCTTGTGGATCAGGTAGGAGCGAAAGCAGTCGTTGCAAACCTTGGTGTCGCAATGACCACAGTGGTGGGCACATTGGACGGGCCGTGCCTCGAGGCAGATGCTGCACGATGCATCAACCGGCACAGAGACATCGAGAGGCGCGTTATCCATCGGGCGGCGTCGAGCGCCGGACGTCTAGAGAGGTACAATAGTAGTCTGTCGGTGAGGACAACCGAGCGTGGGAGGAGACAAGGGTGGATACCTGGCCTGAACGTCGAATGGGGGACATCTTGCGCTGCAGAGAGAGGTGGTAATGAATAGTGACAGAAATGGATCGCCGCATGTAGCGAGTGAAACGTCAACGGCCCCCAGTCAACACGAAGGAGTGATTATCACTCACGCCGATCGCGTCGGAATTCAATGCAATTGGATTGACAACCCTGCGACACAACGTCATTCCTAGATTTATCCGGATAGTATGAACAGTGCGTATATTTCCATGTCATCGATGTAATACTAATACCTTTGTCGTGCAGCGAAGCGACTCCAGCTCCCTTGATGGCCATCGTCCAAGATCTGGCAGTGGTAGGTTGGAGCGGGAGACTCGATTCTTTTGAACGCGCTAGGCGGCGTGAGACACGGTCACCAGTCTAACGCAGCTTGGACCAACGTTCCTCGCGGGGTATTACAACGTTCAACGTGTTGAGCTCGACACGTATAGCTCACCGGAAGAACACTCTGGTGCAACGTTGTGCTGTCGGATTGTCAATCCAACATCACGTGATGATGTCTATCGTGCGAGGCCATGGTGGTCGCCATCACAATCCCTTTTCCAATCGCGGTGCTGCATCGTCGTGCACCAAACAAGTCGATGGCCCCCCCTCGTCGTCCCCCAGTATTCGTACAGTCATCCTCTTTCTATGTTGCTTGTACTCATTCGTATACGGTGCCATAGACGTATCCTATCGAGCGCTCACACGACTCGCAAGCCGACGGCGATACTCGTATTATCGCGACAGACATCAGTGTGGTTGCCATGTGTGTCATCTGCCTCGAAGACCGACCCATCGAGCGCGCCCACCGCTGCCAACGCTGTGATACCAACTGCTGCAACAACTGCTTTGGCTCGTACTTGACGCACAAGATCGACGATGGCGACGTCGCGCCGCACCAACTCGTGTGCCCCGGTTCATGCCGGCAACCGATTCCACGGGCCGTCCTCGCCCAGTTTGTGTCACCGAGCTATCTCCAAAAGTACATTCGGTTCCTCACTGCGTACGAGCTCCGCCAACGCGGTCATCGGTACTGCCCACGACCCCAATGTGGCCAGCTACTGCCGACGTCAACCTCCCACAAGACGAAAACCAAGCGCCGCGTCGACTGCCCGAGTTGCCAGCAGTCGTCGTGTCGCGACTGCGGTGGCGGCTACCACCGGTGGCCGCAGTGTGACCGACAGTATCGATCGTGGTGCCACGCGCATGCTGCGCAGCGCTGCCCCCAATGTTCCACGACGATTGAAAAGGACGGTGGTTGCAGCCACATCAAGTGCACATATTGTCACTACGATTTCTGCTGGCGCTGCCGCGTCAAGTGGGCCGACCACAACCACACGCTGTGTCTGCCGGTCGCATGCGTGCGCTCGACGCACTGGGCCTTTGGTCCGATCGCGCCTGTTCGATTCGTGACCAAGACGGTTGCGGGTGTCATTGGTGTCGGCGTTGCCGTTGTAGCGGGCTCCGTCGCGGTAGGCGTTGCCGTCATGGTGGTGCCACCGGTATTGGTCTACGACGGAGTCCACGCTCGTTGTCGTGGCGACTCGACGGACGCGGTCGACACACAACCCCACATGCCGTCGAGAATTCCGGACTCGTCAGGCCCCAGAGAAGTACGGGAATTGGATGCTCGGTTCATTTATCGCGGCCCCGTGCGCCACGCGCCGCGAGACGCCAACATGTGCCGCCTTCTATTTGAGTCGCCACCCAGTCAAGCCAGCGCATGGACAAGCAACATGCACGAAGAAGACTCGCCTCAACGAGTTGTGTCGCTCAATGTTGCTAGCTGCGTTGATAAACGTGAATAAAATGACATCGACGATCAGTATCTCTACATCGCTACATGAGTAGGTACACATTGCGATCACTACACATCGACTCTGTAAAATGGATGGTGTTGTTTGTCAGTATGCAGTAGACATCCAATCGACCTCTCTCAATCCACACGGTACGCTCCTGCTCAAGTGCAGAAAGCAGAGGGTTCGAGTCCAGTCGGTGGCGCTCCTCGTGTGTCCTATCTCGTTGGCACCCCCATAATGTACTCGTCCCTGCCCACCTCTGCGTTGCATGTTCGACAACGACCCGGACAACGGGCGCATCATGGATGGTTGAAATGACGCCACGTCGACACCATGTCTTTACTAGTACAAAGTAGAGCTCAGCGGTATCTCTCCAGCATGCGTTGCAAGTTTACGTGGCGCGAAGAAGGTGCCAATATAACAGAATGCTTTTTAGGATACAAGGGTACACGCTCGTAACACGTAGTTACGACTAGTGGTGGCGAAGGGCGCGGACGCCATAGTACACGGCGAGCGGTGGCAACGCGGCGGCGGCGACACCAACGGCAACGGCGCCCGTAACGACGGCGACGCCGGTGCCGACGGTGCCAACGACCGCTTTGGTCACCAACCGGACCGGCGCGATTGGGCCAAACAGCTTGTGTTTCGAGCGGAGGAACGCGAGCGGCCAACACAGCGCCGTGTTGTGGTCGTCCCACTTGGAATGGCAGCGCCAGCAAAACTGGTAGTAGCAGTGCGTGCACGTCATGTGGTTGCAGCCGCCGTGCTTCTCGATCGTGGCCGAGCACAGTGGGCAGCGCTGCGCCGCGTGCGCGTGGCACCACGACCGGTACGCACGGTCACACTGCGGCCACCGGTGATACGCGCCGCCGCAGTCGCGGCACGACGCAT